TATTTTTTTCTAACTTTTATATTTAAGGCTACAAGAATGGTAAGGGTTCTTACAGAGTTTGAGATTTGACATTTACTTCAAGTAAACATGTTTTTAAAGTTTGAATTCTCTCATATTCTCACTTATGAGGGAGTCAAGAGTATATTTCTTAACTTGAAATTAAGCATTTTAGTCAATTTTTAGCTCATTTTATTTCTTTAGTTAACTTATCAAGCGGGCTATATTTCAAGTGGTAAGAGCTTTTAAATAAAAGTTTCTCACCTATCTTTATCAGTTCAATAAATATTGATGACAAATGCCATTTTGTTTTTTAAATATTGTACCGTGTTCTGTTTTTGTATTTAATAAACATTTATGTTATTTGTGGATTTGTTTCATGCTTCTCTTTTTTTAAGACAAACACACTGGGATTAATGTTTAGTAACAGTTACTACTATTGTATTTTGAATTAAGAAATCAATGAGAGTTTAGGAAGAAGTATGCTCTGCAGCTCAGTATCCTTGACTCTCCAGTTAGCAGGTCTTAACTGACCACTCTGAGGTAAATGTGTGAGCTGGAAAATACCACATCAGGGTAGACCACGCATCACTCATACAGTTTATGAGTTTTAAAGATAACACTGCAGAAGTACAACTTTACTATATACCACTTACCAGACAACTTATAGAATACCTTTATTTAAGGTACCATGATTCTGTTCAACTTCATGCCAACGACATCAGTTTCTCTAGTGGATGGATAACAAATATGACAACACGGAAGCTTCAGGAAGGTCAACTAAAAAAACTCAAGTCAAGTTTAGGCATTCGTCGCTGTTTGACAAATTAAAGTGACCTTCCCCTTTCAGTGAATGTAGCATAGGGTCACATAGCCACTGAAAATTATTTAAGCAATTAAAAATATAAGAGGGTGTACTATGCCAATGTTATGACTCAAGCAAGCATGGAGCCCAAACTGTGATACAGCTAATGGTCCTAAAGTCACTGAGGTTTGGAATCCTCCAAACTTTACATAATATGAGAATCGAAAGACACCATGGAGTGTCTTGCCCTACAGCCAACTTGTGGAGATAGTTTCCGATCATGTATCTGTAGAGAGGCATACAGACTATACTGCACATGCCACTCATAAATAAAAGCAGTTGTAGGTTCAGCATTGCAAAGGATAGCCCTAAGTACTGTTGAACCCCTACAATAAAAGACAAATAATAATCAATACGTGTTGTTTATTACTGATACTTCACAGAGTGGGCAGAAATTTATCAGCTGTCAACAGATAAACAATTATGGAAGTGTTAAAAAAATCAAATTTTTGTGGTACTAATTCCAGATTTCTTGCTTGAATTATAAACGCATCTAAATGTATTAGATACTATTAGTTAATCCTCAAATAAAATAAATGACTTGCTTGTATTCCATTCACTACTACTGAGGGTGCACTAACTACATCACAATAAGTAATTTTATGTTTTTCCCTATTACAACACTCAGTGTAAAGAACTACCTCCAAAAAATTGTATGAAATCACCCCAGTTTCTTTGTAAAATACATAATAAATCATAGCAGTAATTAACTGGATTAACTGCAATACTAACTGAATTTTTGTTTATGTATTTTTTGTTAACTTGTATGTTATTAGGGACCTACAAGCAACTCTATGCTTAAATTATTTAGAAAAACTTGTTTAAAAACGATATAGACCCTATTGGTAATCATACAGTTAAAGGCTATTTAAATATTTTTGTTAGCTTATAGTTCTTGTAGTATAATAATTTTAAAGAAGTCCCAAGATTCTCCAAACTAAATTTCTCTAATTAATGTCTCAAAGTACCTTCCAACTGAATATTGGTGAAATAAAATATTTTACAAAAGTCATAAAAATCAATAGCAACCATATCATAAGAACTGTTTGATCTGTATACTGGAAATTAGTTTTAATATTTAGTTTTACACTTTTACATTTTGATAAAAATAACCATGCTTAGTTTGCTTTCTTCAAACACTACTGTAGAGTTGGGTGATTAACTTAATTAATTGATATCCTGTGAACATCAATTACATTCAACAGGATGATGGAAAACAACGTTAATCAATATTATCATCAAATCGATTAATATCACAAAAATAATCAAATAAACAAAATTAGTGTTTCTGATTGTTTCAATTATTCAGGCAATCAAAAATATTGCAATTAGGATTTCTCTTTGTTATTTCAATTAAATAAAGTTGACCAACTTAATAAGTGTTAAGTCTCACAAAAATTAAAACAATTGAATAACTGAAAGTTAAAATTTTTCTTACTTGCAAATGTATTTCCAATAAATACTTACTTGTCTGCACACAGTAACTATTCCTCACATGTTTGCCTTTGAGATTTTGTGCATGACCTAGTCTTGAACTATCCTCCACCTAAGACACATGTTATGACAAACTATGCTAGTGCCGATTATGTGATAATAGCCCTCCATTAGTATGAGGTGACAAATCCTCCTTAAACAGTAGATCCCCAGAAGTACTTGCAATAAAAATTAACTTCAATTGAAGATGGGGCAAGACTAATGTGCACCAGTAGCGGAAAGAAAGGGTGGGAAGGTGTTCAGAGGGGTGTCTATTGGAAATACATTTTAAGGTAAGGTCAAATATTAATTTATGAACCAACATACTTACCTCACTCCACACAGTAGCTAAAATCCCACAATGATGTGGTGGAGAGGCTGGTGCAATTGTGGAAAGCTAGATGAGCTCCCTTTAGAGAAGGTGACTGAAGGGGAAAGCCCATAGAGTGTGACACCCTATAGTGGGTGTTGTTTACCTGATGGGTAATACTCGTGGGAAATTGCATCCATCTCAGGAAATTGGCATATTATACTCCACACCACATTGTGCTGACCACTTAGACTCTCTCCAAAGAGATTGCATAATGGGTGAAGAACTCTCCAAGTTGACCACCCCAGCAACTAGAAACTTAAAGAGTGGCAAGGGTCTCCTATGCTCCATTTGAAGACCAGGGGGAGGAATTTGCATTGTGGAGACACTGGAGATGTGCCAGACCAGACTGAACTTACCACCACAAAGATCTTTTACTGGAAAAACTGCAATGGATTACCACAAAACTTAATTTGAAAAGCAGGCATGTGTGAGCCAAAGAAGTAGGCAGACACTCCCCCACTGCTGGCTTTTTCCATGATAGTCCATGGATGGTACAGTCTGGAAAGGACAGTGAAATATAAATATATACCAATGTAGTGAATGGGAGAACAGTATAAATGGATTAAGAAATAAAAGAGGCTCTCACCCATTAAAGGCTGTAAGTAGACTGGAGAATGGCAACTGGTGGGAGGCAGTATTCAGAGGGAAACAAAAAGATGGTGGAGATAATATGTAACAAATATGTTGGGCATAGTCCACAATCTAGCTTGAAGGACCTCGTCAAAGGGTTGTCGAAAATGCGAGATCAGAAAGTGAGTCAAGAGGCAGATTTTGATGAAATGCAACACGATACAGCTGCAAGCATCTCCGTCCAGGTAGGAGTAGATGATTTCGATTAGCTGAAGAATCCTTCCAGTTTGAGTGGAGGACGAGTAATCCCAATGGCAATAATAAACAATTGCAGGAACACTGAAATGGAGCCGTTTGTACCAAATAACACCTGGACACAAACGGAGATCAGGGACAGTACATCATAAAGGACTGAGATCAACAGAAGAGACATGGAAGAAAAGTACAAACAGCTTCCCAAGGCATCCAAGTTTAAAAAGGAAATGAGAATGTATCACCCACCCATTGGCGAAGGGATATTGTCGCATTATGATTACATCATGCACAAGACCATTTCACGTTATAACACATAACTTAGGTAAAAAACAGCCCAAGATCAGTGACATGCATAAAATCTCTAAAGCAGACACACAAAGAATGGGTACTGTATGCAGAGAGGTAAGTATATCATTTTGGAATTAGTATTTCTGATTGTTACCATTTTGGGTTATTCCAACTATCTTTGGCTCACATGAGAACAACTGATTAATTGAATGTAACTGAATAATGATAAGCAAATTAATCTATCTGCACAGCTTTACACATAAATGTCAGAAGACAACAGCATCATTACCAGTGGCTGATGAAAATATGTAAATACTCAGAATAAAAAAAATTAATACAAAAATGATCTGGTTATGTAATACACAGTTGTACCATTCTGCTTTAACTTTTGCACGCCAAAAGTGTCGCCATTCCTTAAACTCAACCATTAAATGTTTTGATGCATTTTTCATTAAGGTATTAAAATGTTTTTGAAAAAAAGGTCTTTTAGTAGTAGTAGATAATTTATGTAAATTCTAGACAGTGAATACTACATACCAGCATACTTCATGACTGTAAATTATTTTTATAGTTTACTACTGTGTACTGTTTAAACACAGAGGTTTTTAAAAAAAAAGAATAACATATTTCTGAAAAGCTTGAGTGGTTTTCCAAGATACAAATTATCTGTATAAGCAATGCATATATACATAAATGGGTGTTTAAACAATCGTATAAATAATTCCACTGTACCAATAATATGTTGGTAATTTCAAATAATTACTTTTGTGTCAAGATACATAGCCCTTAAGCATTTTAAGTTTTTATGACATCCACTATAGAATACTCTTTTATAAAACTGTGTAGACACACTCAATATGTAATTAGCTGAAAAAAAAAGCTATTCCTTTGAATGTGATCCAGTATATATATAATATTCATGAATCTAGAAAGAATAATGATTGAAATATAAATCAAACTAAATTAACAGACACTGTGCTATCTTTAAAGTGGCTGCAAGTAAATAAAACAGTGTACCTACATGATACACATATTAAATAAATTCTCAATTTCTTGACCATCTTAAGAGTTCAAATGATGAAGGAACAATTTTTATTACCATTACATACATGTATTATGAGTGAAGTTTAAAATTATTTTCTGTGCATTAAACAGCAAATCATTAAAGGATGTACTAACCTGAACATTTATCTCTCGACTATTTCGCTTGTCTTCTGGTTCTTTCATTTCATCATTTTTTGATACTTTTATTCTTTGTATATCATCATCAGTATCACATTTTCTTTTATACCCAGAGAAATGCTCGTCATCATGAGCTCTCGTTTCCACCACTTGTTTGTTTTCATAATCTAATACAATACATTTGGTAGGTTCTTGATCAACTTCATCTGTGTTTTCTACAGCCTGTTCAACACTGATTTTAGTTTCTATATTTTCAATATATTCTTGTTCTTCTCTATCTTCTAAATCCTTAGCCTGTATTTGTATATTTTTTATTTCCATTTCTTCAGCTCGTTCTTGTCCAGTTGTACTTTCTAACACTTTGGCTGAATTTAATTTGCCTTTAAATTCTACTTCTTCAGCTTGTTCTTTAGTTTCTAAGGTCTCAGCCTGTGCTTGTTCAGTTGTGGTTTCTAACACATTAGCCAGTTTTAAGTCACCTTTAAATTCTACTTCTCCAACCTGTTCTTGTTTAGTCTCTAAGTTCTCAGCCTGTTCTTGTTCAGTTATAGTTTTTAATGCTTTAGCTAGTTTTAAGCCACCTTTAAATTCTACTTCTCCAACCTGTTCTTGTTTAGTCTCCAAGACCTCAACCTGATCTTGATTAGTTGTAGTTTCTACCACTTTAACTAATTTTAAGTTGTCTTTAAACTCTAACTGTCCAGCCTGATCTTGTTCGGTCCTCAAGTTCTCAGCCTGATCTTGTTCAGTTGTAGTTCCTAACGCTTTAGCTAATTTTAAGTTGTCTTTAAATTCTAACTCTCCAGCTTGTTCTTGTTTAGTCCCCAAGTTATCAGCCTGATCTTGTTCAGTTGTAGTTTCTAATGCTTTAGCTAATTTTAAGCCAGCTTTAAATTCTACTTGTCCAACCTGTTCTTGTTTAGTCTTTAAGTTTTCAGTTTGTTCTAGTTCAATTGTAGCTTCTAACTCTTCAGCTAATTGTAAGTCAGCTTTAACACCTACTTGTTCAGCCTGTTCTTGTTCAGTTCTTAAGTTCTGAGCCTGTTCTTGTTCTGTTGTAGTTTTTAATTGTTTCGCTAGATTTAAGCCTGCTTTAAATTCTAATTGTCTTGTCTCCTCTTGGCCAGTTTTAGATTCTTGCTCAGTTAATTTTATCTTCATTTCAGTTTTTTCTTCTTTGATTGATTCTTGCTCATTTTCAATCTTTAAAACTTCGATTGTTTCATGTTTATTTTGAATTTCATCATTTTCTTTTATTTGTTCTTTTTCGGTAATTTCCTTTTTTCTTTCATTAAAGTCTTGTGCATTTTCTTCCCCAACCTCATGTGAATAATTTTCAACATCAGTTTTCTTTTCTTTATCTGCTTCTTTTTTGTTGCTCCTTAAATGGTCTTTCTTATCAGTTTCAGCTTCAGTATATTCATTTTGCTCCTCAAGTTTGGATCTTTCTGGTACATCTCCATGGCTTGTATCCATTTTCTGATCTAGATCTTGATGTTTCTTAAGTTTATCAACAACTTCTTGCTGTTTATTTTCAGTTTTTCTGTTTTTTTCTTGTATATTCAATTCTTTAATGCAGAGTTTTTTTGCTTCATCCTGATGCCCATTAACATCAGTTTTCATCACTTCCTCCAATGGAGAATTTGATTCTACTTTCTGAGACATTTCCAAAACTAATTTGTTTTCATATTCTTTGGTCTGTTCTTGATTTCTTTGCATTTGCTCCTCCTCTTTTGTGAAACTCTCTTCTTTAGATTGTTTACTTTCTTGATTTCCTTGCGGTTGCTCCTCCTCTTTTGTGGAACTATCTTCTTTAGATTGTTTACTTTCTTCATTTCCTTGCGGTTGCTCCTCCTCTTTTATGGAACTCTCTTCTTTAGATTGTTTACTTTCTTGATTTCCTTGCGGTTGCTCCTCCTCTTTTGTGGAACTATCTTCTTTAGATTGTTTACTTTCTTGATTTCCTTGAAGTTGCTCCTCCTCTTTTGTAGAACTCTCTTCTTTAGATTGTTTACTTTCTTGATTTCCTTGCAGTTGCTCCTCCTCTTTTGTGAAACTCTCTTCTTTAGATTGTTTACTTTCTTGATTTCCTTGCAGTTGCTCCTCCTCTTTTGTGAAACTCTCTTCTTTAGACTGTTCAGTCTTTAAAAATGATGACATTTTTGATTCAGCTAAGGTATCTTCTTTAAGTTTTTCAGAATCCCTCCTGGTCTTCCAATTGTTTCTCTGTATCCTTCTTGTTCTTGGAGGATCAACAGGTTCATTTGCTATCTTGTTACAGTTGTTATTAGTATCTTCATTCACTTTCTCTTTACTTTTGCCAGTGATTTCTATCAAAGTCTTACTCTTTATAGAATTCTTAGTATTTACTTCAACTTGGATTTCAGGTTGTAAATCTAAGGATCTTTTCTCCAGTTCTTGACTTTTGTTGATATCTTTTTCATGTGGCTGTTTGCTATTCAAATATGTGTTTTTACTATCTGTTTTCTCAAAATCTTTTTCTAGATTTTTCCCTGTGGATTGTATCTCAACGTTTACTGCAGGCTGGTCTGTCTGCTTTACAGCAGCATTCAAATTGATTGTACTACCTTCTTGTGGATGAAGTGTTTTATTTTCTGGTTCAGTTTCATGATTTATTTCTTCACCTTCTTGTTTTACTTTTTCAGTTTTAACAGAAGTATTTCCTTGAGTTTCTGTAAATTCTTCAATGTCTTTTGTTTGATCACATGTATCAGCTACCTCTAGATCTTTATCTTCTGATTGTAAAGAGCTTCTTGTTCTTCTTCGTGTTTTTTCCGGAGTTTTTATTATCTGTGGTTCTGAGGGCTGTTTAAATGAAAGCTCATCTTTTTCCTCAGAATCTTTGTTTTCTTGGTTGGATGAAGTTCTTGTCCTTCTACGGGATTTTTTTTCAGGAGAAGAAACATCCCCTAACTGATCCACTGCAACATCTTCACTAGCTTTTATATGTTCTTCATTAACTTTTCCTTTCCTTTTATTATCATCTTTTTCTGGAGATCCTTCTTCTTCTTGTGATGATGAAGCTTCTGCATCACTAGATCTGTAGTTCTCTGATTTTGAACAATAAAATTTGATACATCAAAATTTTTACATCAGCAAGTGTTTTACAACAATTTTATTTGTATCTTAAAATGTTATATACAGCATAAACTTAAATATGATTAAATATATTGAATGTGAATTTTTCGTACTTTAATCAATGTGAAACAAGACAATGGTGCTTGTTAAACATTTTTAAATATTACTAAAAGTGTATAATTTTACGAATGCAGTTGTTTACTTAACAATTATATATAAATACAAACATTTTTCGTGATGGTGTACAAGACAAATAACAGGCAAGTTCCTGAATATGTTTAATTATCTGAAACATACATATTACCAGCACAATTTGTATTGCATAAAATTAACTTATGATCAAGATTTAATGCCTATATCACTACATACAACCTGAAGATGTGAAATACAGTTGGATAAGAAATGCAAGAACTTATTAAAGCACTTCCTACAAAACAACAAAACATGCAATCCAATAATTATAAAAAAATTTCAATTTGTAGCGCTATTAGATATGAAAATAAATTATACAATGTATATTTTACAATTTACTTTTCAATAATTAAAAAACATAACCCTCTAGGGGTAAGTTATAAAACAGAAAACTTTGCACTGTGCTTAAAAATGTGCAAAACTGTTGAGAATGATAGACAAGAAATAAAAAGTTTTAAATGGTTAAGCTCTTCTGTTCAACAAATAACCAAAATACATTAATTTATTTTAATGTAACCCAGCAGTCATTTAGAGGGTATTTAAAGTTTTTATTAATACACTGTGATTGGCTGTTATAGCAGTAGCTTCTTTTATTTTCATTATTTTTGAGCTTGGATCCCTGTACAGAAATTTGTTATTGATTGAGACTGGTGTTGGGATCACTGTTTCAAGTGTGAAATGCTATAAGAGAATTCTTGATATTACAAGTTTTGATGTCTCTGTTGTGTTCATTCATACACACATAAAGTGGGCATTTAGTTTCCTATATATATATATATGTGTGTGTGTGTGTGTGTGTGTATATATGTATCATTCACTGTACACATATTTTGTCTTGTGAATACAGAACTTTACTTTTTAAATTAGTTTTTTATTTTAATTCGTAATATTATAATTAATATTTCATTTTGATTTTCGTTATTTTTGTACATTTAAAATCAAAATGAGATATTAATTATAATACTTATTAAGAAATTAGTATATTGATTTTCAAATATAATAATTTTGTGTTCCTTTTGAATACTTAACCCTGGAAAAGCTCAGTTTCCCATCTAATATTACATATGAACAGGAATTACTAATGTGATTTTCGTGTTCACTGTTGTCTTGCTAGCAGTAAATTTTTTTTGCAATGTTGCTAATAGTAATGTATTTATTTCACTGAGTAACAACTGTTACACACACACACACATTGAAATACTTATAGAAGGCTCTATCTTAAGAACCAAAAGCTTATAGCTTAATAAAAATGTAAATGTGTTGTAATATCCCAACATATGATGTTGAAACCACATAGTACGAGTCTCAAAAAAGTATTCAGATCAAGTAAATCTTAACGGAATCTATTGTAATTTTTATAATAGATATAACAAACCATTATCATCTTACCTAGCTCTACAAGTCTACGGGCTTCTTTCTGTATTGCATAGCTCTTCTGTTGATCAGCCAGATATTTCTTTATGAAATCATTTTGTTCAGCAATAACATCATCTTGTAACTTAAAAGAAAAACGTAATGAATTTATGGCATAAAAATACATAATCTACATAACTACGAGTTACTTTAGAAAAATAAAGCACTGAATTAATTGAAATTACAAAAAAATTGTGCATTTCTCATTAAGCACAGGATACATGATAAATACATGAGTGTGAAAAATGATAAACATATTTTGATCATTCTACCATGTCAATAATTAATAAGATTCTTTACCCACCAATCCATATAAAATAATTTACCAAATTAAAAACAACCTTACATTTTTTTGATAACTGTTTATCATAAAATGTTCTGTTTTCCAAGTGTCTTAGGTTCTGCTACAAATGTATTTCACTGTTTATTCAATTATATAGTATTTCAAGACTAAAACATACACAAAGAAACAAATTTATCAATTTTGGGTATTATACTTTGGTTTGGTTTTTTGTAAGCACAAATCCAAACAGTGGGATATTTGGGTTCTACCCACCATGAGTATCAAAACACGATTTACTGCTGATTCACTGGAAGGATAGGCATTATAAGATGCTAAGAAAAACAGAAGCTCGTGAATTACTTAAGAATCAATGACCTAAAAGATATTTTTAGTTAATGCTCATAAAAGCATTATTTATCCATATACCAACATTTTCTACATTATGGTCAACAGACACTAATAGAGTCGAGTAACTAATCAATTAATTAGTGTCATGCAAAATAATCAATTAATAGAAATTACGGTTTAATCATTCCAACTATCCAAGTTTTTTTATGAGAATAATTGTTTAATGAACTCTATAATTAATCAATTAGTAAATTCTACTAACTGTCTTGCTCTAAATACTAAATTGAAAAAAATATCAGGACTTCTCATGACAAAACTGTCATTTTCAAGTATCGAATCAAGTGATTTTAACAGAACATAAATTGCACCAAAATTATATAACTAATGTTTTATTATATTTTGTAAAAAATTACAGTAACAACTTTACAAAACATTCTAGCAATAACAGATACAGTGCAAATACAAGTGAAAAAGATGTTAACTTTTCCCCTTATGCATACTTTGTATTGCACACAGTATATTTCTGCGAGTGTTCTGACAATCAGTTAGCAAAGGTGTTGATATCCAGCCACAATGGACCGAGTCTGCACTTTAATAGCATACTTTCACTAAGATCTAGCTATAGCAAAACATTTATTTAAGCAAAAATATGCTGTTAAAATAAATTTCAAGTGACTGCAAATTACTGAACAAAGTAGTGACAAATTCTTCATCATTTACAGCAGTATATTAAGTATATTTCAACTTTTCCCAACTTCAATTTAATATCAAGTGATAAAGCCTTGCATCTTTCTCCAAAACACTGCTTTGACTGGAGCTATATATTTTTTTTTAATAATAATAATAAAAAACTCTACTAGAGTGTAATATAGCCAAAACCAAATAATATTTATATTTAATAATATATTTTATTCTAACTTGCCAATAGGACTAGTAAATTTGTATCCTCATTGGCTGCTGCACATTACATGATAATAACATGACACATCACCATGCTAACACAACAGAGATTCACTCATACTGTTGCGAGCATTAACAATATTGTTTGAATTATGGTTTTCCCACACAAGTGCATTCCATTATTTTCAAACACTTCCTCACTTTACTACTGCATTTCAATTTACCACAAAACTTTTCATAGTAGTGGAAACCTTGTAGGTAAATAAAACCTTTATATTTCAATGTGGTGTTCAGCCTGTAAGTTTCCTTTTATTATAACATATGACCATGTATAAATTATATCTAAAATAATTGTACTGAATAATTTTAATTGTTGTCAAGTGCATCAGTCATCACTAGAGCTGGGTGATTAACTCAATTATTAGCATAGTGTCACGTAAAATAAGTGATTAATTAACAAAAAGAAAATAATCAACTAATCAAAATTAGTTATGTTTTTAATTATGCACAAAGCTACACAAGGGCTATCTGTGCTCTGCCCACCACGGGTATCGAAACCCGGTTTCTAGCATTGTAAGTCCGCAGACATACCGCTGTGCCACTGGGGGGCTCAAAATTAGTGTGTCCAATCATTACTATTTTTGATTATTCCATGTATCCAGTTAATTGAAATATTGCATCATAATTTCTCACTATCATTTTCAATTAATTCAAGGTTGTTCATCATAATCTATTATTGTCACAACTCACGACAATAATCAATTATTCAAAGTTACTGATTTGAATTATCACAACTATCCAAGTCTTTTGTAAGAATAATAACTTAAACAAATGTAATCAACTAATGAACTTGATGATTAATTGATTAGCAACTTCCAACGATAGCCCAGTTCTATGGGACCCAAAATGTCACTCAAAATATCCAGGCCTAGATCGACAGCTGTATGAATAATGGGTGGCATGATCAGGTATAAGCTGAAGGAAGTAAGATGAAGAGTTGGGCAACTTGAAGGAAATTAAGTGGCAGATGGACCAACATCAATAAACCATCCACTTGCCCTAATAAATTACAACAGTGGATGGCCCATATGAGCAAGCATGAAAATGAGTTACACTGAGAAAAAATCCTGCCCATCTTGAAAGGGACCAGAGAAAATCCACAAATGAAGATAAAGGCCTGGCATGTCACAGCGGAATATAGATGCCCAAGGCTGACGTAAGATGGAACTCAAAGATGGGACAGAAAAGGGCTCTTAGTTCACAAGGAGGTGAAGGAGTAGCCAAAGAAGGCAATTTACATAAACCTGGTAAAGGGTGGTGCAAATTAGACACCATCCTGGGAAAGAATCAGAGAGCATGATAGTTAGACAGAATGAGGTTGGATCAATCCTAACTCAGTGCATTCACCATCTGAGCATCATAAACTGGGATTCATGATCAAAAGAGTGGAAGCTTGGTAATGAGGTAAGTCACAAAGGCATTGATAAGAGGACTCCTAAAGTGGGAACAAATCTATTGAAACACCAAAGGGTGTAAGGACCACTCTATTGAAAGGATTTGTGCTGGGCAATACAGTCAATCTGCCACAAGTTCAAATCTCTAAGACACAGCAGGTTGACACCAAAATGTTGTGGTTATGACCCCAAAGAGGAGCTCTATGGCTATAAAGGAGAGGTCCCTAGAGTGAGTACCTCAATGTCAATTGATGTAAAAAATGAATGGAGTTGCCTGTATGCATTATAAGATGATATTCAAACAGATATGGCTGAAGATGGTAACAAGCCTAGTTAACTATCAACATCATGAGGAAATTGTGTGAACAGATCATTCCTCTTGAGACCTAAAACCGGCAAAGGTGAAGGTGTCCGAACCTGCAACCCACTTTAACAGGGGGGCATCCATGAACTGTTGTAAGTACAGGCAAGGTACAGAGAAAAAGATACCCAAGGATGTGTGGGATTAATCAAGCTACCATGAAAGCAAGAGCTGAAGTTATGAAATGAAAGAGATGTAAGAAGTTAAAGGATCTCTGGATATATCCTACTGATCTGCAACAGTCCACTTAAGGAGGCATGTCCAACATGAACAAAGGACACTAAGGAGCTAGGGCCAAAAATAAATAGAATGTCTCATGCAGAAAGAAAATGACACACAAGAACTTTGAAAACCAGAAGTTCCACATTTTAGCAATTTAAAGGTTAAAAATACCCAGCAAGTGAAATGAGAAAAAAAAAAACCCAAGTGAATATAGGTACTGAATGAGGGTCAATATTAACTTTGAGAGCCAGAACAACCAACTCAAATAAGCAGATTAAAAAAATAACTGCTTCCTCTGAGCAAAAATCCTCAGGATCCAGTGGAAAATATATGGGCCCTCAGTGTTGAAAGAAAGAGAAAGCCATGAGGTAGTCCACAAGAGCTGAGCTCATATAGAAGCCAAAGGGTACCTTCAGAAGTTAGTCATCTCTGAGACTCTCAATGAGGACATCAGAAAGGGGCCAAAAAAAGTAGCAGGATAGGAGAAATTAAGTGGGTTCATAAAGACAAGAAACCTGCTTAGTCCTCTTGTACTTAGATAAACAGGAAACCAGCTCTAGTTTCCAATTTTTAATCTTTCTTTTAAAGAAATTTATTTAAGAATGATAGTAATTCTTATTAGATAACAATTCACATGAGAAATTTTAACTGAAATATTTCAATTTAAAATATACACACACTGCAAGAAAAATAACACATCTAATAGGTGTAGTTCTGAGGAAAAAGAATGAGCTTCTGGCATATACAAAGTGATCGAGGAGAGTACTGTTAAAAGAGCTTGATTCACCATCCTTCTACAGACTAATATTGCTTGTAACATGCACAAGTGTTAGTAAACATTTTACATATAGGAGTGGCAGTTCAATGGAGAAGCAAGTAGTGTGAACTGAATTACTCAACATTATCCATACTTTTTCCTATTAGAAAAAACAGCAGGTAGAACCACAAAGTATAAGGAAAGGCACATAAAAAAAACATTGATATTATCAAAAATTACAGGTTTAAAAAAAAAAGCAAAAAGGTTTTAGCTTCATTGTTTAAATAAGCCTAAAATTATCATCATTAGTGAGTATTAGTCCATTTAAAATTGGCCAGGATACTCCAAGAAATCAAAAAAATTTGTTGTCAGCAAGTTTAATACAAAAGATGTGAAAGTGAAAGATGAGCATAATTAAAAGATGTAGTTTCTTTGTTTTAATGTATTTCTATGAATAATAAAAAATAATAATAACAGCAACACCACACATACATTAAAATTTTTGCAAATCCACTCAATATTCATGAAAGTAGTAACAGCTTTACCACAAAAAAATTCCTCATACAATTGGGTTACAAACAGATATTTTTTCACTCGAGTTTAGTTGACTGATCCATGAACAACAGAAACACAGAACTAGTGTATAATTTTAAAGATTTTGTGCTATTCACATTTCCATTTTTTCATAGTTGTTTAGATTTTTTTTTTTCAGTCACCAGTCTATTTAAGTAGATTGTACAATACTACCTGTGTGAATTTCAATAAATTTCAATGTGTTCAAATAATAATGTTCATAATTGAACTAGTTGATTTTTGAGCACCTAAAAATTTAGTTGAATATTATCTATATACAAAACACTGTGAAACAAAACTTAGAAATAATTTTGTACAATGTGTGCTACAACACTGTTTATGTGATTCACTGAATTCAGTTTAATGTTAAATAAGCATGGTCTTCTTTTGCTACAACAAACTTCCATTTAAATGAACTTTCTCCACAAATCTACTTTTCACAAGAGCTACAGAAAATACATGAAAATGATGTGAAATGTTTTGTACATACGCTGTTTATGTAATTTTTGCCTAATGAATATGGAAGAATTTATTTAGTACACTACAAAGTTATTTACAGCAATGACTGTGAAAAAAACATAACTCATAAAAAACCTTTTTACTGTGGCTTTTTCCCTAGAATTTTTGGATTTTATTTATAGGTGATAACTTTTGATATGAAAAGGCTAGATGCTCTTTAAAACTGTTTTATTTCAAAAATACTTGTAAAAAAAAATCTTGGGACTATAAAATTAGATTGTGTCTATAGACATACTGCAACTTTAGCACTCAAAGGTCCCCAACACCACATCAGTCACCAAAAAAGTCCCCCTCCCCCTCCAGAAAATGTCTGATAGAAAATTCCTGTTATGAAAAGTTGACTTGGAACATGGGGCATGTGAATGGATAAGTTTACTTGCCTAGAAATATTTTGTACCATGTATTAGTCACCACAGGCAATGAAATAACCACTAATGTTGAGTTCTGAGTGAATGAATGCGAGTACTAAAATGTTTGAAATTGCTTTTGTATTACAAAGTATCCAGTTGTGTAATTTTCAATTCCAAAAGGCAATATTCTCTTCAAAAATGAATTTCCAGTTATCCATGATGGTCTTAGTGATTACAATTTGAACATCCTGAATTTTGTCACAAATAACCCAAAAGCTTTCTCTGGATATCCAACTTTCATAAATTAGTAAATTACATTAACATTATGGAATAGTCCTGTTTAATTATAAACATTGTATGCTCATTCAAGTACAGTATGCTCATACAGTACACAAAAATTCAAAAATAAATATATGAATATATATCAGCACACCTTTGAAAATGTATGTTACAGAACACCTGGGGTCCATCCAAACACCAGCAAAACATTATCATTATAGTAAGCTCTGTATTGAAATTCCAAAACCCAATTGCATTACAATTTTATTAGGGTTAGCATGCAATGTGAACAATATAAATATATATGTATCCTACAGGAAATATGTTGACAAATCAAGAAATTACAAAATTACATTATCCCCAATATGCGAATAAGTAGTATTAAACCATTTATTATACAAACAGCGTAGCAAAAAAAAAAATACCAAAGTTATATTATACTTCTATACTCAAGTCATTATCCACCATTATACAAGATTAACATGATATTGAAAAATTCAGCTCAAAGAAAACTGAAAGTGTACGTTGTGGGTCACCCTGTGTCTTATCAAACCCCAACATATATATATATTCTTATAGTAGACTATGGATTGAAAATCCAATAAGCAGGTTATTTATAATAATTATCAAACAAAGTTTCTATAAAATAGGGAATTATAACCAGTCATCACAGAGAACATTTGTTGAGGAATGAGATGTGCATACATGCTTATCACAATGATGTTATAAGCAAACAGATGAGATGATATTGTACTACTTTGATGGTTTATCCTCTATAACAGCATATATAGTGAAGTAAATGTTTAGAAATTTGTTTTGTATGCTATAGGGCAAAGCATTTATAGTGATGGTCAATGATAGTATGAGGTCCTCATGGATCCCAGACAGATATTAGATTGTAGCTACATACTCCATCTGCCTGTTTCGAAAACAAGTGTCATATTGATCCATGGTTTCTGCTTAACAATTACATGAATGGATATAAAAAGATAAACTATCGAGAAAGGTGTGCTGATGAGGGTTAAGGAAACATGCAAACTGTAGATAATTTTACTAAATCATTTTAGGAACTTGCATAAAACATGCTCCCAGTTATATATACTTTTCAAAGCCAAAATGAGAGATTGACTTTAATATATACTTTTCAAAGCCAAAAAAAAAGAAAAAGAGAGATCAACTTTATAAACAACCTTTTAAAGTCAGTGTAAAGGTTCACTGTTTTACCTGAAGTACATGATTAATAGTACACATATTTTTTTATAGCTTTCAATTGTATACCCTAAATAAAATTTAAAATAAGCCCCTAAAAAATTAGTTTCCTCGAAATAAAATGAATCATTAATAGTATGTTAAATAATGTAAAATATGAATAATTAATTGGCCTTCAAAAACTCATGCTAAAAGTGTATGTACACATTTGCTGAGGTTTAGTCATATTTTATAACAACAATGTTCTAGGTTCCTTTACTGTCCTTGGAACTACTTCCTACATTATTGATTTATATTAATTCTGATGGCCATGGCTATATGATGGTTGTCCAATACCAAAGTTTCTGTGGTGATAGAAATGTGCTACAGCAAAAATAGTGAGGTCATTCACAAACCACATACTCTCTACCATATATAAATATTGGCTTCAAAAGCCATTTTAAGCATACCAAAGGCACAAAAGAAGACTCCAGGTGCACTGAGCAACTTGCCAAGTAAGTGATTCTAGTTTTATCAGCTATCTTTTGGCTGATGTTTTCAAAATGTGGCTATGAGCTTGTTAACCTTTGAGGTATGAGCTTCTGAAAAGTTAAAATTTTTGTTTATTATACCGATAATACCAAACTTTACTGCAATGGCTTTATGGAACAACGTGATTTCCTTCATATTCATAACCTTCACTCTGTGGATGATGGCATAACTACAGAATGTTTTCAGAACCTACTGATAATCTAAAGGATCTTCTGTAAAAGTTGTTCTACTTCTATAGCCATAGAGAGCACTGAAAGTTACTTTCTTCTAAATGTTATGTCTTTTAACCCTACATTATTTAACAATCTTGTTAACTTCATTACGAATATCCTTCCTTGGAATAAATTATTATATATATCCTTCCAGATATAAGTATATTTGTGACAGCAATGCATTGTTTGGGAATTCATCTTGAACCAAAGGTTGTAAAACACATCATCTATGATATTGTGACTTGCATTTGAGGCACCACACCAAGGTATGAGCATATGCAAGTTATTTCTATAAAAGTGTGATTATCTCTTTGTATATATATGTGTGTGTCTGCTGATGCTACTACATCATTTTGAATTATAAACTTGTATCAACCAATATATTTTACCTTACCTAGAAACAAACATACATATACAAAGGTTGAGTATTTTATATTAAAATGACTCTGGAGATTCAATACATCATTAAAAGTACATTTCTCCACATCTGGCCATGCTCTATCTGACAGTAGTGCTTCTTGACAATAGCCTTAAAATATATTTTCCATAGATAAAGATTTCATTGAAAGGTTGTCCTGTTCAAAGCACACCATTCCTCTCTGAATGCTTTCCATAATCAATCCAGTGTATGAGGACAACAATTTACCAGTTCCTGTTTGAACAGTCTGATCACAAAGAAATCCTCAAGTGTTGCATTCAAGATTTCCTGGTATGTCTTCACATGGAACAGCATGAATACACATTTTATACTCCAGCTGCTTGATATATACATTGGCTCAAAGGATATTTCATGGTAGCTACATGTGTACACGTGACTTTTTCATTTTTTCTGATGGAGATCCTTTTTGATTATGCTGCATATTGTTGCCTGGGCACATGGACAGCATTTGCCATTTGCCTCTATGTTTATGAATTCTCACCTGTTACAAGATTCCACATATCAATCACCATAGCTGGAGTACAACTTATTGTAGGTCTCTTTCTGGATGGTCCTGGTGCCTAAAGTTGATCCATAATTTTTTGTTTTCCAATTCCATTAAGTGCAAGGGATACTCCTATCTTGGAAAACCTAAATCCCTAATCTGAACACACCTTTATGATCTGAGTGTATAAATATTTTGCACTGGAAAAGACTGTTACATTCTCTTCCCATAAGTAACTAATTAATTTTCAGTGGAATCACACTATCTACAAAGTGGCAAGCAATATCAAAATATAATTCTGATACATGGTCTGCCACAGCTTTATACTGGGTGTGCTTGCTATATGACTATCTGCATGTTCAAAATCATTTTAATATAATGTACTCAATCCTCTGTATATTAATGATTCTTATACCTAATGTTAAAACCGAGGTAATACTTACAGATATATTTGGGACCAAATCTGAAATATAAAAAAAAAAGATATATATATATATATTATATTGTATTATACAAAAATTATAAGCAAAAATATTTACATCACACATAGATTGGTTTTCATACAAATAACCTACCAAAACCACAAATCATCAAAATGTTTGCAAGTTTTACCATCCAAATCAATTCATTAGTAAAACTTTACTTCTTGTGCAACATCAACACATTAGGTTACCAGCTCATCACATAATTTTATATTACACTGTAAAATGTTTGTTTTAACCTAAATCTAATGTAAATTTCCAATTCCATTTTCAAACAAGGGTGGGTAAAAATTCCATGAAAAAGTTATATCAGGAACAATAACTTTTTGATAACAAATTGTCTTAATACCAGGGGTTACTAATAATTGCTTATAACAAATATTCCATGCAAGAATAAAATATTACAAGTCTGTCAATGCCTTTAAGGTAACTAAACTTTGAAGTGAAACTATTTTGAGTTTTTGTGGTTAAATTTATATCATACTATTGTTGGCATATACATGCTGTCCTAATTTCTTTTACTGAGTTGTAAGCAATGCTTTTGCAACTGTGGTGATTCACATAGAATTAACTATTGCCATTGTTATACACAGTTATTGTACAATAAAATGTTAAATTTGTACATGTTTTTAAAATTGTCATCTTTCAAGACATGTATTTAAATTTCAATGATGGTTATCATTCTTTGTTATAAAAAAGTAAATATCTATTGTATGTAATAAATTAACCTAACCTTTATGCTACCACATCAGTAAAATGGTAGCAATTTGCTCATACATACATTAAAGTTCTAAAAAATTTAATTTAAACCTGATAATATTGATTAAATGAATGCTTATAAGTATGACCTAATTTAAAAGAAAAAGGATTTTCCATGATTATAATGTAACATGGTGAAATATCACACAGCACGATTTTATGGAATGTGTAATTCAAACTGCTTTTAATATAAACTTTTGCTAGTCTTTCACTATGAAGGACATTAAATGTACATGGATGTAGCAATTTTTATCAGTGAGACCACCAAGACACTGGTGATTATATTTAAATGTGTTAAGTGAATTCTACTACTACTGAAAATTTGGCTATTGAAAACGTATGAGCAGATGCAAGTATATAATCGAGGTTTTAGTCTTTATTACATAGTAAGTCAGCCTTTCCCTATGACAAAACATTAAAATTTATAACTTTTTATTTAGCTTACTCAAATAATAAGAAACAAATATTGAATTTAAAATATTTTAATTTTTACATCCCATCAAATTATTTACAAAGTTCTCTTTCTTGATAATAAAAACTTAATGTTTTCAGAGAAACGGTTAGGTTAGATACAAGCTCCCTTAAAAACTGTCAAAATAATATTTACTATTCAAGTTTGTTTTCTTACACTTTTTTCAATCTTTAAATTGTATATAAAAGTTATATTTTGGAAAAGTAATGTAATTAACATGGATTATACAACAAACCATGAGAAAACAAGTTAATGAGATAAAACAACTTCCTAACTAATAGCAGATATATTTTTGTAAAATCTGATAAGTGGAACTAAAATGTAGAGATACACAGGTGATATATATATATAATTCCCAAACCTAAGAATAATTTACACACTTTGTTCTAAACAGCAGTTTTATGTATAAATAAGCTATTTAGAAAGTCAGCTCATTACTTCCCTTGACATTTTCGCTGAGATTAACAAAACAGTCTACCTGCAGTAAATGTACATACCAAAGCATCAAGATATTTTAACTGTCCATTTTGCTTACATGTACTTCTCATTCTAAGGAATGTACTAAGTGCTTTATTTTCTATTAGCTTCAATCCATTATTACAACTTTCTTTTCTCTTGAAAACTGAGAAATAAGAAAAATCATATTCCCTCTACAAGCCTAAATCACAAAGCAAAGTAAACTTAACAATTTCAGCATGTAAACTAAGTTAGTAAATACAGTTACTCAATTATTTCCTACCATATTACAGGTATAATGTTAGATTCTGGTAAAAAAAAGGTTACTTTCAGCACATTAAGTATTTTAGAAATTATATCAGTTTGTGTAAAATGCTAATATATATATATAATGAACAGAAGGATAATAAATACATTTAACTGCACAATTACTCAATGTAAAATACAAGTTAACTTGAGGGACTCTGTTTTTGATTTCATACTATTTATATATTACTGCTCATGTAATGTTTTAAATTCACCATTCTTTCATACAAAACACCAAAGCTGGCTGTAATAGTGACTGCTCATCTTCTTACCTGCTCTCCTGTCTGATGGTTCAACTAACGGTAAAGGAAATAAAAATGTGGTTACTTTTCAAGAAGTGGCAGTCAAATTTATCAAGCACATGTCGTTCACAATATTTAGTTATTCTACATATGATTTTTAAGAGTCCCACCTTATTATTTTTACATTAAAAGATTCAAAATACCAGTTATGCACAGTGTATTTATACAAGTTCCACTTGTTTTAATTGCACAACAAACACAGTCCTGTAAATTTTTTCTCACAAAATTAAAAAATATACTAAACTACAAAATATCAGTTTATCTCGCATGATTTACCAACTTTACTTATCCACACACATTGGCTGGCCACTGTATTAGAACCCAGACCTTGTAATAGACTTTCTGAATCTACATTGTTCAAAATGCCTCAGAAGTACTAACTTGCATTTTTGTTCCATCTTCTGCATTCAGTGAATGATATATACACATTAACTATACATAAAATATATAACACGCATCAAAATCTAGCCTTGGAAAAGGGAAACACAAGACTAATAAAGCATACAGTATAGGTGCACTTGTACAGTATGCTTTGCACTCTATAAATGTTGTGCATGCTATGGTATTAGTCAATCAAACTGAGCCATAGCTAATATCTAATTATGTGTGAAATGGTGGTTAGTTGGTTTGGCTCTTTGTGCCCATTGTGTGCCGCTGTTTGAATCTTTTTTGTTCAAAATGACCATGCACTGACATTTCCAAGACACTTTGAATTATGATGAGTAATACTGGAAAAACTGTTCATCATGAGTTTTAAAATATTAGGGTTGATTTTATAGATGTTAACCTGTGCCATGAATATATATGCAGGAGCTATATAAGTGTGCACTTTGAATGGAAAATTTGTTTAAAAATTGCAGAATTCTACAAAAAGACAAGGTTTGGGAGACTTAATAAATTTTTATAATATTTAATTTAATTGCATCTACAAAACAGTCTGATCACATATGTATTTGCATCATAGATAAACTGCAAGAAAATGGTTAAGAGCAAGGAACTCCCTGATTTTTAAGCATGAAATTGATAGTTGTGTAGTAGACTACTGTTATCAAAAACAACTTCTTTGACATGCAGTTCAAAAGAAATATGTGTATAAGTTTAAAAAATATAGAGAGGAAAATGCACGTTGCTTAAGGAATTGGCACTTGAAAGCAAATATACGAGTGACTAAAAAAAATGTGTATCAAATATTGGTGACAAGCTGAGGAAAGGAACAATTGGACAGGTTCACAACAAATCCCTGGTTATGTCCCATCAGATTAATTCAATACAAAAGATGCTTATATCAATACACAAACAGGAGAGTAATGAAGCTTAGTGAATGATGGGAAATGAGCAGTCTGGTCAGAGGAGTTGTGATTCACCTTTTTTGTACTAACAGTACGGTAAACAATATGAAAAAGTATCATGAGACACTTGACCCTAATTGTGTTGTAACGTGCATAGTCTTTTATAATTTTTTTTTTCAAAGGACAAATAACCTCTGAAAGGAACCTGAATGTTTTTCTAATTCTATCAACCTCTAATACTAGATTTCCATTCTAATAGAGAAGGGTCTTCCAATATGATAATGTAACAGTACACAACCCTTATATTGTTCAAAAATTAATGTGACTCATTCATCATCCTCGGTTAAGTATCAGGTTCTAAATGCATACTATAGCCCTTGATAAAAAATGGTATGATATCAATGCCACAATAAGGCCAGACTGTTATTGCTGCAAAAGTTGGTCTAGCCTGATATTAGATGGAATCCTGATACAGTGACCAGTTTGGTGTCTATATGTGTGTGAGTGTGCGCATAAATACATATATATATATATCAACAACATTAAAATAGATCATAATATACTAAACCTTATCCAAATATATCTTTCAGAGATTCTGAATAGACATTTTGCTAAACATATTACTTCAAACTGTATTCTAAATTAGCACAAATAAATCTATCTGTAATAATGGTAATTTATAGCAAACTTTTTATTAAATATACAACATTTCCCATTTCCTTAACAACAATTCTCAGCAAACTCACTCTCTAATTAGTCCCTCTTTGAAGTATAAAATATTAAATATTATCTTTGTCTCTTTTTAGCTTTTCGTTCTGGATTTTAAAAACCTACTGTTAAGAAATTAAGAATATTGGTGATGCATTATTTAAAAACATAAACTAAAAACTTTGATAAAACATTTACTAAGAATATGTCCTGCTTTAATTACTAGAAAAGAACCTGAGATAAGAGCATTCACGACAGAAACTGTGTCAGTAAATAAATTATTGATCTAATAAAGTATGTAAAACAGTGCAAATATAAAATTCTGAACATTAAGCTGTTCTAGATACAATACTAAGTGTACATAGTACAAGCTAATCTACTATGAATGTAGAAATGTTTAGGCTTCTAGAAGGTTTGCTTTATTTTGCATTATTATTTTTTTAATTAATCATTAGTTTTATTCATATTTACATATTCTAAATACATAAACCCTACCATTTTGATATACAACACTGCATTTAATATAATTATATTCTGCACCTCAACCAAGAAAAGTACATGTAGGCTACTATCAAAATCAATAGTGAATAAAAGTTGGAACTTGTTTAAGAACTGATGTACATGTAACAGATTTGTTGCAACATGTACAAATAAACAATGCAGTAAAAACTTATCTTCTTGTACTACAGATATGATACAGAAGACTACATGTATAATGCAAAGTCATGTGTAAATTTCACTTCAAAACAAGACAAATATTTCCTAAACACAAAAATGCATCTAATATTGCAACCTTTTGAACAGGAATTATCACTTTGCATTATCTAAATGTTCTTCTGTGGGGTAAAATAATTCATTGTAAAATCTACTATAATGTGCTAATTAGAAGAGATTATTGGAATGGATTCATTTGTATCAGGTAGTACTGAACATTTCTAAACAGTTAGAAATCTCTTAAACAAATAGATATGAATTGCACAAGTAAAAATTATAAAAGAGATACATACATATTTTAAAATTCATATAAACAAAACACAATATTTAAAAAATGACAAACCAACCATGTGTACATTTCCTCTCGTAGACTTTATCATTTAAGAAGTATGTTTTATTATCTTTTATTTCTAACACTGCTTTGAAGAAATATGTTAAACAATATTCATTATTGATAGTATACAATGGTAGAAAATTACCAAAATTAGTAATATGTAATGAGCAGAGGTTACAAAATCCACAGTAGATCATTTAAGTTAAAAATATTGGCCAGTAATCAAATATATATGCATATGTGAGTGTACTTGTATATGCATATAAACATATGTGTGTATGTGATATGATTTAAAACTAAGATATGCATGAATACTCACCTTCACTTTTTTCTGATGCATTATGGAGTCTTTCTATTTGAAGTTGCTGAAACAGAAGATGAAACACTATACTACACTTTTTTAAACAACTGTTTTCAACATAGGAATAAAGAAATACTTTGCTAGTGCTAAGTTTAATGCTGTGTAGCAATTATGAAAATTTCAAAACCTGTAAATGTTTTGAATTGGGCTATACTTAGTAGTTTCCAGAGTAGCACATCATCTTGTAAAGGTAAAAACTTTTCTGAAGCAAAAACTGAGAGTGTATAAAATTTAAACCTGGACTCCCAAAGCAGGTAGTTCACCAAACTAAGTTAATAGTCAATGAACTTAACAAGTCTTAGTTCTTACTGCTTTAGACATCTATATGCCGAGAATCCACCTTAGTAAATCCAATAAAGACACATCCTCTGTTAAAAGTTATACATCTTCTTGAAAAAGTAAGAACTTAAGACCAAACAGTATTAAAACCACAAAATCTCTACTAACCAAGCTTTCAGGAATAACTGCCAGTACTGAACATTACAAATGCCTTCTGTACAGAAGCAATAAAGCTACTGAGCAAAACTTAAAATATCACATCTATTTGAGAGGAAAAGTATCATAGGATATTCAAAATAATCATAAAAAGGGAAAGAAAAAAATATTATAGACAGTTTTTGAGCTCTGAATGGATAGTCTTGGCAGTAAAAAATGTAATGCTTTTAACTTTCAAAAACCTAAAATGTATTCTTGTTCTCAAACAAAAATAATTTTTTAAGCATATTAAATGGAACATTAAAACTGTTCAAACATTTTACCTGAACCAGTACTATGAATGTAACCTTATATCTTTTTACAAGTCTACAATAACATTCAGTTTTAAAAATTCCTAAAAGCAGAACCAAGTACACCAAGTGCTTGCAGTGTAGGAAAATCTTTTTGAGAAAGAATGTTTGTCAGACATGATTGCCTTAACAAAATATTTGGTTGCAAAAGCTGCTTGGATTGTGGCTATCTAACCAGGAATACATAGTCTGGGTGTATTTTAAGAGCTTCTGGTAGTTTGTTCTTTATTTCAATAACTGGAGAAATTAATTCCACAATGCCTATATGTCATGTATGGTTTGTGTCTATAATTAAACATAAAACATTATGCAACTTTTTTTTCATTTAGTTGTTTAATATTTTTTTTTACAATTTATTTTTTCCATAATTTATGTTGACTCACCCAATTTTTTTAATTGTTCATCCATCCATTTAGGGCTACTTAACTTGGATTAATAAATTCTCTACATCAAAATTTATTAAATATATATTTTTGTACATGTTATGATGCAACCTTACCAGGGATATAGCAAAATTGTTAACCCATATTACAAGCTTCTCCATATCCCAGGTCTACAGTATAAATAAACTTACCCAAAATTGGCATGTCACATACACGTAATATTTGCATATTTTACAATTTGGCTATGTTGTGTGGGGAAGTTACTGCCAGTGTTCTATTAAAAAGTTACCATGTTTTTTGTTATGCTAAATAGTGAAATGTATAAATATACATGAGAATTTTTTAATCTTTAAATGAAATTAACTTTGGCATATTTGTTACACTTCTTTTCAAGGTGTATCTTAGGATTTATGACTTTTTTAGTAAATGGTAACAAAACCTAATTTCAAGTTAATCTTTTAATTATACAAATAAACTTATGATTCTTTAGTGGTTTTTACCTTAACTAAAGTTAGAGTTGTTGCTGTACATTTATAATAATTATAATAATATTGTAACAAGTTCATTCTAAAATACTTTAGCTTTGAAAGTAAACATACGCTTCAAGTTAACTGTGGTTGTATGTTACAATTACTTGTCAAATGGTGAATCTCCTAAGCTGCCAGACAAATGGATTTTCATAGTCTGTTTTCATCATAGCTACACACCCAGCAGAGGGCTTTAGGGTTTTATCAATAATCACAACTAAACCCACTTTTCCACAACATCAATGATAAGAAATCCTTTCAAAATTTCAATACTCAAAATAAATAATATTATATTTCTCAATGTTAAAAACTCTCCCTATCCTGGCCATTCACTATCAAAGTCCTTTTGAAAAAGAGAAACAGATTATATATACACTGTACATGCAAACACTGGGCCCAATGTAAAATTTCTTTATCTGCCATTTGTTCATTTAACTAAGTGTTACAGAAAAAAGTGAAAGGTTATACTGTACAATGGATATATTTGCTATTTATATTAGCACAAATTTTCTTTAGTACAACTATATTAAGTATACAATGACAATAAGAACTTCCCAGAAATCATTAAAAACTGTAAAATATGGTTTAAATTTGCATTTTCAGCAGACTAAAAAGATATAACAAATTTTAAAAATAATGCAAAATGATTAAATGTAGATTTGGAACACTACTCAACTATGTCAAGCACAGATGGTTGCATCCCAACCCTATGGAATAATTGCACCACTGAATTAAAAATGTATTCCAAATAGAAATGAAATTTATTCAAGAAAAACATTTCACTTATATAGTTTTATACATAAAAATACATTGCAAGTTTTGATTTTAACATGCTCTGAATGAACACATTAGCATTTTTGAAATTTCTTTATTCTGTCTGATCATACTATAGCACTCACAGCCTCATAAAAGGAAAGTCAAAATAGCTGTAAGCAAGATATCCCTAATGTAAACCCTTTAACTTCACTACAAATTCAGTTTTACCCATTTTACCAATCATCATTTCTCAACCATCTAATATCATAATACAACGTAACTACCGTTATCTCAGCTTTGATAAGACATAGACTAGTGGCCTAAACACACGATGAAAGCTCTTTTTATATTTTTTCAATTGTATAAGCTAACATGGATTCCTCAGTATGATTCACACAGAGAATGAAATAGTGATACAGGCTTAACTTGGTGACATGTTGCTAGAAGAAAAGATGTTTGTGAACAGCTTCTGCCACAAATACAGTCTTTGTTTTTTTTAAAGCTTGTGAAAATACTGCTTTATCATTTTATACTTCCTTTGAATTATAATGTTGCATTCTGATACAAAAACCAATGTTTTCCATGGAAGAAGGTGAAGTAGTCTTAGTTACATCATTTGGTACTTGACTATCTCAAGTTTTGTTTCACTGACAAGACCACAATGCTATGCCATGTTTACATTAGGCCTTATTGGCCTGAGTGACTGCTTCAATGAGTAAAGAAAATCATCAAAATGAAATGTAAAAATATACACATTTAAATAAGACTTTATGATCAACAATTAAAAAAAAAGCCAGATTCCTTATAATTTTGGTGTGATAAACAATTTATTTTCATTGTACACCAGTGATCAGTGATCCCTATGAGGGGATGCACTACAATATCAAACAAGGTCACTGCAGCAACATCAGGACTTTGTGAATATTATACCCAAATACCAGCATCAGACACAGTGTCCACAACACCCAGTGAGAATTCCCAACACTGGTGCTCAGTTGACCCTAGCCCAACAGGACCAGCCGATTGACCCTGGGCAAGCGACAAAATCCATAATATGAGGAACAGAGGGTCTAATAGTTGAAAACCCCTAACCCAACGACCAATGGTGGAAAACATTCCACTTATGTTGGTAAACATCACTAGAGGAAGGACAATTTGAACAAGCTAAAATATAAGTGACTTGACAGTACAAACCAGATCTCCTCGCCAAGGACTGGATAAAAACAAGCATGAAGATGGATAACATGAAGAGCTGGATGAAATGCCTGTGACCGAGGTTAATGTAGAATGCATGGAGTAAGAGAAAGATGTAATGGAGGTGCAGACTGGCGATGGAGCAGCCATGGGAACCACAGTTGTGCAGACCAGTAATGAGTAATCAGAAGGACTTCATAAGGAGTGTCATGGATGATAGAGATCACACTGTGAAGTAGATGGATGGGAGGATAAACATACAGGTATTTATTGGTCCAATCTTGACTGAAAGCATTAACAGCCAAAGCAAGAGGATGAGGAAGCGGAGACCAAAACAGATGTAATTTGGTCTTGAGGGATGTGAGGAGTACTCCATTGAAGGCATACCCACTGGAAAACAAAAGGATTGAGAGACCACTCTGTAAGATAAACTTTATCTGGATGGGAAAGACAATCCACAAAAAGATTGAATGCACCTGGAATATGACATGCAATGATACAAATACCGAGCATGTGGACCCAAAAAAGGAGTTCCAAGATCTGACCACAAAGGGAACGGGTGCCGCTTTGTTGACTGAGATAAGACACCACTGTAGAATTTTCACAATGGATCATGACCAGACAATTCCTGGCAAGATGAAAAAAATGATCCAAGGCATGATGTACAGCCAGGAGCTTCAGAATGTTGATATGGTAAGATCTTTCAGCCAGAAATCACTGACCTGAAGCTTATTGCTGATTGATCCACACACACCCAAGCCCTGAAGGGAAGCATCCATGAAGATATGTAAATTTGGACAAGGGGAGGAAGTGGAACACCCGCTGACATATGAGCCTTGACCAACCACCAATGCAGATCATCTACAAGGGAAGGAGGAAGAGAAATAGGAGCCTCCAACAGATCACAAGGAAGATTCCACTGGTCATACAGAGTCCACTGAAGAGACTGCATATGTGATTGACCCAAGGGGATAAGTGTTTCCATTAAAGACCATATACCCAAAATCAATAGAATCTCGAGAGCTGTAACAGAGGGAGAAGTAAGGGCATGGAGAACTGAAAGCTCCATCGAATGAAGCTGAAGATGAAAAGGTTGGGTCTGACTGATATGAGTGTTGAAAAAGACACCCAAATGGATAAGATAGTGGGTAGGTGTACAGAGTGACTTCTCCAATTTGATTAACCAGCCCACATGAGCTACCTCCAGGAGCAGCAGATGAGTGTGATAGGCAGACTCTCATTCAGGATGAGCTACCAGAAGCCAGTTGTCCACTGGACCAGAACCCACCAAGTAGTCCCAAGTACTGTTGGTGATGGGCCCATCTGCATAGAATAAAATGATGAGTTAAGGAACCCCTG